GTTGTACATTTGCTGTTATGTTAAACCTATATTAAAGTTTTTCTTCATTACCCATTCAAGCCGTCTCCAGCCATTATTAAGATCGAACTTTGTTTTGACTGTGCGCGGAGCGAGGCGAAGTGACCAACTGAGTGAGTGAGACGCAACTGAGAGAGAGGCGTCTGACTTCGCCTCTTTTATGCTCTGTCGAGGGACTTCTCGAATGTTCTAGCAAACTTCCCACGTGAAGGTTTCATGATTACCTGCGGATCAGGTGTATATGGAAATGAAGCGAAGGTGGTGCAATTCACCACAATTATATCAGAAACAAACAGCATATATGAACAATATATTTGGAATTTTACACAAATACAATACAGTCAATATTTAAATTTATCAATAATCTATGCCTTTTACCCATTACACTGTCCAAGTAAACTTAATTTCATAGCATAAATCTATTGTACTGAGTTGATTGCATGGTATTTCACATAATGCTGATAAAATATTGATATATTACAATAAGTCAAAATCTAGAGATGATGGACAAATTCTGACTACATTTTTGAAATAAAAACCACCAAAGTACCGCGAATCACTTGAGGTTTCTCCAGAAGCAAATGTTTTTGTCGTCCAGTGTTACATTTGGAAGATACTAAACTGACAACGCCAGAGGACGTGACAGACGCATCGGAATGAGAAAAGGTTGCATCTGTTCACGTGTCACTCACGTGTTGATTATGTCGGAACAGCTTCTTTAAAGGGTTATTTATAAATAGTATAGCTTTACCTGGAGTATATGAATAAACTCGAAGCTCTTTACCAATACAACTTAAAACATATTAAATACGAATGGTCTGAAACAGGTCATGTACGCAATTGTCAGTTTTAAATCTAATCATCCAAAGGTTTACTTTTCACAGGGTACTTACATATGTAACAAAGTGAATATCATTATATACATATATATCCAATCAACTCACTTTTTGTTTTTTACAGAGTCTCCACTTGACCTCTCGAGATCTTTATTATCTTCAAGAGTGCCAATTATATCCAACAGGAACACTGATCCTAGAACAGTGGTCGCTAAATACTTACAGACAGAGAGTCGTCGCTCACTATCAAGTGACTGTCTTTTTACAAGTAATAAGGTAATCCACACGCTTTTCATTAGATACAACTAAAACATAATTTAAGTTGAAGTTTATATTAAAACATATTTATTCGACGGGACTTCGAGTTTAATGATGAACAACAACGAACATTTGACACGTGTTTGTACAGTAACAAACATTAAATTCTTGAATGTTTCCGAATATACATATTCCATCTTCAGTAAGCTATTTTGAAGAGGGTAGGTTATTAGGTACAAATACTTATAACGTTTAAACATGTTATAAAAAAGTAATTAAAATATAGAATATAAGTATGAAATATATTAAAAGACATCCAAATAAACAAAGGATATGATAATGCAACAGTATTAGTATAATATTAGTATAAAACAGTTTAACAAAGGATTTGGATTAGACACGCTGTCTAAGTTGACTGTATTTATTTCTCCCCTGTCGGAACAGTCCACAGGGGCTGAGGTGCACCAGATTCCCGTGAAGAAATCTCGCGAGCGAACCCTACTTCCATGTGACGTGTGTGGTAAGGCCTTCGACCGTCCGTCCCTACTCAGGCGACACATGCGTACCCATACAGGCAAGTTACTAGCAAGATGAAAAACGATTATGAAATAGTCCTAAGTAAGAAAATAATAACTATAAAATAAATATGTAACAAAAAAGTGTAATATTTTATCAATTACAAATTACTAATTTTTGATTTTTATAATTTTTATCAGACAAGATACTCTACTTCGATGACGAGAAACCCACTTTGAGACTAATAATGGTTGGAGACGGCTTGAATGGGTAATAAAGAAAAACATTGTAAACAAAGAACTTATCATAATCAAGGAATTCATCTTAATTAAACAAAACAACCCTACTCTAAACCAACACCCCGGGGTGTCTAGATACCTCTTCTAAGTTTCACAACAGTTCCGGTCATGTGACTTCTTTGTTCCATACTGTATGTATATATCTGTGTCAGTGTAAATTACTTGTACCTGATGATGACAAAACGTTGTACATTTGCTGTTATGTTAAACTTATATTAAAGTTTTTCTACCTATTCAAGCCGTCTCCAGCCATTATAAGGTACTTTATATTTCAGTTCAGAGTTATTTTCACGGCAGTATAGTATGATTTGTTTAGAGTACAGAATCAACATATTTTCTCGTAAATACTAATTGCTTTGTTTCTCTGACGTACCATGCTATTCAGTTGTGTTAAATAGCCACGTCACAAATCACAGAAAGATGTTTCATTAGTTGTAGAAACCGTGTTTCAAAACTAATGCTTGTTTTCTTAGAATATTTAATATAAACCATTGGATTTGAAACCACGAGAACATAAAACAAATACAGTTTCGTTTTTCATATCATACTTGTTGTATCATTTATTGTGTAAGCATCAAGTCCAATTCATAATATTAATTAATATTGTACGATACTAATTTTCACACTGAATAATGTTTATGTATTTCACTCTAATTACACAAGTGTTTTGATGAATTAGGAGAGAAACCACATGTTTGCGATGTATGCGGGAAGGGGTTCAGTACGTCAAGTTCCCTTAACACCCACCGGAGAATCCATTCCGGCGAGAAACCTCACCAGTGCCATATCTGTGGAAAACGGTTTACAGCCAGCTCCAACCTCTATTACCACAGGATGACCCACAGCAAGGTAAGAATATTTTAGGATTTTTTAAGGTTCCTTCTATAAATAAATGCACGAAAGAATACAGTTGATTTCCTTGTCGCTTCCATTTGAGAAAAAAAAAATGTAAGATATAGACACAGCGCTATATAAAAAGTTTCAAACATTTTTGATTTGATATAAATATCACAGTCAGAACTGAGAATTTTCTTATAAAATTTTGAAATTCTAATGATCTTTCTACTTTAAGAGAATAGTGATAAGAAACAAGGTAAGATGAAACGTATATAAAGAAAACTCTTGAACTGGATAACAGTACTTCGAGGAATCTTGAGCTCTACCCAATTTAAAAGATCCAGAAAATCCCGCGAAAAGCTTCAAAAAGGTTAAGTTCTTTGTCTTACATTAGATCCGTATCTAGATCTGAAATGTTAACACTTTTATGTAAACGTGTGCATTACCCTGGAAATATTAACTGTGAAGAACAGTCGTATTCTATAGGTTACAACAAAAATCTCTCATTTCATTTTAAGGTTAGTAACATTCCAAAAAACATCCAGAAATAGACGGCAGAGAAACGTCATCGCCATTTTATTGAATGACATCGACTAGAAGTAAATATATGTTTATGGGATGAGAAAACAACCAAGTTCTCACAAATTCATGTCATATACTTCTTTTAACGTTAAATATCAATTACAACAGATAACTGACACTAGAAAAAGGCATTTATGAAGCGAAATTATACAGAAAAATATCAATTATAATGCAGTTGAGATTGGGTGTATATCTGTTATCTGCGCTAGTTCGTAGACAAGAGAGAAGGCAACTTACCACCATTACCCACCGCCAACTCTTTGGCTACTCTTTACCAACGAAAAGTGAGATTGACCGTCACATTATAACGCTCCCACGACTGAAAGGAGGGAACATACTCATTTTTTATTAGTAAGAAAGCGGGAATCATCATGTATGTAGGTCTTTGTGCTGTTTCAGTTTTGAAAGAGTTTGCGAGAGCATAGATGATAGATTATACTATAAATAAATAATCGTTTTAATAAATTTTCGAGTCTAATAAGTTCTCAAGTTGAGGTCTACGCCCCGGTCTATTCAGAATTCGGCCACCCTGTCGAGCTACAAACTGGTTTATCATCCTACAGCAACCATTTAAATTAATGTCGTTACACTACAGACCAATTGGTCATGAATATTCAAGACAGGTGGAGCTGAGTACTGAAGATTGAAAGTTATGGAATCCAGATTCGCTGTAATAGCATTCTTTATAAATTGCATGCCAGTCTGAAGTTTTTTGATTATATTGTTTGATCAGTGCATAACATGGATTTTTTTGGTAACATATTGGTGTGCATACGAATACGTTTAACACGCACTCGCACATACGCAAACATTGTGCAATACTTTATCGTAAGAACTTATGAATGTTGCCTAAACTGGTAACATATTGGTGTGCATACGAATACGTTTAACACGCACTCGCACATACGCAAACATTGTGCAATACTTTATCGTAAGAACTTATGAATGTTGCCTAAACTGTTTTACATCGGTATTTCGGGTAGGTCTAAAAAAAAAGAAGACAAAAAGACGAGTGAGTAGGTGAGACTGACGTGAATAACTGATTAATCGGTCCATTTACCTGACTTGAGTTAAACATGCTTGTTTATTCTTTGGTGTTATTAAAACGTCCCTCGCACGGATGTAACGACAAGTCTCTAAAAGAATCGCTAGAATCTAGACCCCTGTTGGCGAATAAGAAAGTTTGAGTGATCTATATATGGGTAACGTTCTACAGCAAATGTTTTTTGTTTTTTTTTATGATCATGCAAATAGATTATGATTCTAAACTAAAAATATAGAATTACTACAAATGTTCTACCTGTCATGATATCTATGATGTTAATTAGTGTTTTTATACGTTTGTTTTATTGTTAACCGTAAAGTTAAACAATGGGCTAACTGCGCTGTGCCTATGGTGGGTATCGAACCGTAATTTTTAACGTTATAAGCTATCACGCTTACCGGTGGGTAGAGCGTTAATTAAATGAGACGAAACATAATTTCAGAATCGATTTAATTTTAGTTCATTAGATATAAAATAAATTTTTACACTTTGTTGGTAAGTGTCGGTGTTTTTTATTAGTAACAAAGAACGTATTTTTTTAGAACCCTTCGTTCAAAACTTGAAATACCGATAGAAATTCATATATTAGCAGTATCGGCAAATGTATATATATATATACTTTTGTAACTTGACTTCTTTATTTCAAAAAATATGTAATGGAACAGGAATAATCTTGCCTAATTTGCCATCGTTCTCGTTTAAATCATTTTGGCCCGGCATGGCCAGATGTTTAGGGCACTCGACTCGCAAACTGTGGGTCGCAGGTTCGAATCCCCGTCACACCAAACATGCTCGCCCTTTCAGCCGTGGGAGTGTTATAAAGTGACGGTCAATTCCACTATTCTTTAGGTGGGTGGTGATGACTAGCTGCCTTCCCTCTAGTCTTACACTGCTAAATTAAGGATGGCTAGCGCAGATAGCCCTCGTGTAGCTTTGCGCTAACTCCATAAAAAACAAACAAACAATAAATATTTTTTTAATAGTTGCTTTTTATTTTTCGTAGGAAAAACCACACAAATGTTCCTTATGTGCCAAATCTTTTCCCACGCCAGGAGATTTGAAGAGTCACATGTACGTCCATAACGGTTCGTGGCCTTTCAAATGTCACATCTGTAGTCGTGGGTTTAGCAAACAAACCAACTTAAAGAACCACCTCTTCCTACATACGGGTAAGTAAGTCTATGATAAAAAATAATTATTGTTTGAAACTTCACAAATAGATATTATGATATTCTATTTAGTCGCTTATTCTGTGGAGAAAACTTGTATTTATTACGTATTTCTCATTAACATATATTTTTATCAATACCAGATAAGTTTCTTTCTGATTAAATGAAAAACGAAATACTTGTTTAGATAAGATAAATGTTAACATTGCTATTTAAAAACTCTACAAGAAACTTTTTTGAAAAATCAAATTTTAATTTTTCAGATATATATATATATGTATTACTATATAGCAATGAATCAGTTCTAATCTCGCCTGTCTATTGAGATAAAGTACAAGAAAAGAATTATCATATAGAACCAGCGGCACAGTTAATTCACGGTGGTTCCCATGGTAATGTTTAACCACTGAGGAATATTATTGGATAAGAATATGTTGTTCTTACATCAAACATTCCGACAGTGATTGACAGGAACGTATATAACTAAAGATTTAAAATAACATTAGATAAATAAAATTATATCTTGTTATAATTCAAGCTTACCACAGTCTTTAACCTGGTTCCCATGGTAATGTATAACCACTGAGGAATATTATTGGATAAGAACATGTTGTTCTTACATCAAACATTCCGACAGTGATTGACAGGAACGTATATAACTGAAGATGTAAAATAACATCAGATAAATAAAATGATATTTTGTTATAATTCAAGCTTACCACAGTCTGTAACCAAAAGGTGCCTTAGTGGCACAGTGTTAGGCCGGCGGACTTACAACTCTAGGAACCGCGTTTCGATCCCCGTGGTGGGCAGAGCACACATAACCCATTTTGTAGCTTTGTGCTTAACTTCAAACAACCAGCCTTTACATAAAACGTTTATTTTATTTCGCGTTTCTTCAACAGCTGAAGTAAATTCTTTCAGAATTCTGTAACTTAGTTATCTACTTATATTGAACATATAGAAAGTGCAATAAAACGATGGGCTTTCTGTGCTGCGCCCACCACAGGTATCGAAACAGAGATAACGCTCTTCAGTTGCACATTATATCAAACACTTTTAACGTCTGGTTTCTTTTATTTTTGACTCTTTTGTCGCGTTCCTTTTACTGAGACATTCATTAACATTTAGGCTTACAACTGAGAGAGACATAATAAAAAGAAGTTCCAACGTTTCGGGTGGACATACGCGGTAGTCGAGAAATATGCAAATATCACCCTTGTCAAGGTCAGCATAACATTCATCTTAGTCGTTCACCATTCAAACGAAAAACCGAAAACTAATATCGATTTAGCCCTAACATTATTAGGTTACCTAGAAATTCAGATCATTAACAAATATAATTAGTTATCACAAACATCTGTATACTATATTTTGGAAGAGTTAAGTAAGCAATCAAAGTTTCTGGTCATGTAAAAACTTAATATTAACATTTAAAATATAACTGGGTTTAGCACAAACAACATGGAAGTAAATGTTATAAAATGTTCATAAAATTTCAAAACAATAACAATAGAAAACCGAAAGGTGGCCGAAGGCTGCATAAAGGGGCACCTATTTTAACCACTCGCACCAATATACAGTAGTGTGTTGTCTGTCAGTAAGTCAGTAGACACTGAAATGAAGTCACATAAGGGACGCTTGACGTTGCAATTTGTACTGTCGTGGCGTAAAACGTGCGCATGCCATGAATCACGAGAAGAATTACGCACTCTGTAAGCTACAACACAGCATGACGTATGAACTTTAAAAGCAAGAAATACAAATATTTGTTACTCTTAATTTTGGTTTTATTTACTCTTGAAACTTTCGGGGATCCACTGGAAGTACATCTAGTTATATTTATATATCTGTTGATATTTTGTTATGTCTGCTTTGACTGTTACCACGAACTCAAAGACAAGGTATACGTGGTTACTTGAGGATGCTAATAAACTGAGTAACAATTTGGAAGGAACACTGTTGAGAGACAAGTTTTGGTTATTTATTACACTGCTTAAATTAGGAAGGTACATTCCGATTGTCTAGGTGTCTTAAGTTTAATTATACTATTCATACAGGTATGTGACCACTATCAGGGACTGGAACACCTATTTCAGGAGATGCGTTTTTACTTATCATACTAAGTGTCCTGTTTTTAATCAAGTGTTTTTCTTATATCTATTTTTTCTTCCATTGTTTCTCTAAATTTTTAGAAGCAATTAATTTCTCACGAGTAGCTTTTCAAAATGTGAATGACGTGGATGTTTGTGTGTTTGAACAGCCATATACTTGTTTGTTTGTTTGTAATTAAGCACAAAGCTACACAATGGGCTATCTGTGCTCTTCCCACCACGGGTATCGAAACCCGGATTCTAGCGTTGTAAGTCCGCAGAAATACCGCTGTGCCACTGGGAGGCCAGCCATATACACTTCTAATGCTTAAATTCTGTTTTCATCTCACATATGAGGCTTACGAATAGAATCCGGAAGACAGTGAATCACCATTCCAACTACTTTTCTTGTACATTTCTTATTTTGTTTGTTTAATTATAACATTATAATTAAACACACTGAAGGTTATGTAAGGTGATCAATGAACACGCTCAGAACTCAGATAAGATTATAATTAAACACACTGAAGATTATGTAAGGTAATCAATAGAAACACTTAGAATTGGAATAAGGAGATGAATAAACGCACTTAGCCTAGTTTTATCTGCCCTATACATATGTGACGTAATTTCTTTTGGCCTGTTTTATGCTTGTTATTTTATTAATAGGTTAGGCATCAATGCATAAACAAAACAACAACAGCATCAATTAAACATGGATAATCAAGTGAGCAGCACAGATCAGTAGTGAATATAAATACACTAAACCACCAATATAGCACAAAAAACATAGTTGTATAAACAGTAAACAGTACAGTAATAGCATGAAAAAAGTGTTGAAGATGTACCGTTTCATCACGTGGGTATGTAATAGAATAAACACAAAGGTATATAACACGTAGTCATCAGCACGTGGGTATGTAATAGAATAAACACAAAGGTATATAACACGTAGTCATCATCACGTGGGTATGTAATAGAATAAACACAAAGGTATATAACACGTAGTCATCAGCACGTGGGTATGTAATAGAATAAACACAAAGGTATATAACACGTAGTCATCATCACGTGGGTATGTAACAGAAGAAACACAAAGGTTTATAACACGTAGTCATCATCACGTGGGTATGTAACAGAAGAAACAAAGGTTCATAACACATAGTTATCAGAACGTGGGTATGTAACAAGAGAAACACAAAGGTTTATAACACGAAGTGAAACCTATAATTCATGGCCAGTTGTGGGGATCTCTTAAGCACCCTACATGTTGTACATATAACTATTTCTTGTTTCAAGGTTTATAGACAAAAGTAGCTCATTAAAGACAAATCTCTACCATCAAACCCATTTTTATATTATTTTCAGTGGACCTGACGATTCATGGTGTTTCTATATTTTTTTCCTTTGTACTATTGTTGTAATATCTACCATTTAGTATTATATATTTGGTACTTTTCTGCGACCGACATAACTTGAATATGTGTGTGCGTGTGTGTGGTGTCATAAACATTCTAAGACTTTCCAGAAATAAATATAAGAAGCTTTGAAAGTTTGACTTTAGTGAAACCTCAGTGGTTTTTACTTTCGTGTATTGCGGTAGTTACAGTATCATGGGAAACACCTGGTTCTAAAACGACTTTCGGAAATATCTCTAAAAGAGAAAGTTCTTCACATAAAACAATCCAACATACGTGAGTGAATACGAACTTTTATTATGAGTTTTTAACACATGTTGCACTATCAATTACAGAGAAAGTTTCAGCCAACACACAGTTGTACACGTGTCAAAATAAGTTTCGTCTACATCTATCCGTTCTACTGCCTGATAAAACTACCTCGTATTTAATGACACAGTTGTACACGTGTCAAAATAAGTTTCGTCTACATCTACTCGTTCTACTGCCTGAAAAAACTACCTCGTATTTAATGACACAGTTGTACACGTGTCAAAATAAGTTTCGTCTACATCTACCCGTTCTACTGCCTGATAAAACTACCTCGTATTTAATGACACAGTTGTACACGTGTCAAATAAGTTTCGTCTACATCTACCCGTTCTACTGCCCGATAAAACTACCTCGTATTTAATGAAAACATATTTTTATGACCATTGGATCCCCTCACAATCGAAAATATTTGAAACTGGATGGAGTTATGTAAATTCGTGATTAATGAAAAGATATAAAAAGTTGTTTCCCTTATATGTGATTATACAAACCGCAAAAACGCCCACAAAACTGCAAAACACAAAATGTGGACCAAACAAACCTTCATGCTAAATTTGGTGAAGATCCATCAACAAGGAGCGAAGTAGTGGGGAAAAAAATGAGAAAACGCAAATTTGCCTATAAAAACCGCAAAACGCAAAATACAAAACTGAAAACTGATACGTATTTCTCCATGGACTCAATGAACTTCCATACCAAATTTGGTGAAGGTCCATTTACAGGGGGCGAAGTAGCGGTAAAAAACGCAAACACGCCTATAAAAACCGTAAAACGCAAAATGGAAAACTGAAAATTTGTATGTACCCTCGCATGAACCCAATGAACCTCCATATAAATTGTAGTGAATATCCATCAACACCTTGCAAAGTAAGTACAACAGACAGTTATATTTATTTAGATAATCTTGATAATAATGAATTATTCAAACTCTGTCTAACGCATGTTATAGAACACACGACAAGTTGGTTTGTATACAACGGCATACGCTTCATATCAAGAAGGAGCAACAGTGAGTAGGCATCGTAAGCAAATTTTTCTTTCAAATATATTATACTCTAAGCAGGATCGATCACAAGTTTAACGTGTGTCTGAATTCTTTAATATTTTCTCTGAATTTTTCACTGTTTAAATGATCATTGAATTATCTTATTCTGTGTATCATATAGATCCCCCGCTAGGTTGCTT